AGGGGGCCTCGGCATCATGAAGGACATTGCCAAGAAAGCAGTTCTTCGCAACAAGGAGTACACCACGCTCTACGAGAGGCTGATCAATGACCCCTTTTACGCCTACACTGCCGCGCGGGGAGACCTGACGCCGTCCGCCCTCGAGTTCATCGAGAAAGTGGCACGATGCATCATTCCGAATTTCGTGAGAACCAAGGAAATGATCCAAGGAAGCGTGGCTGTGCCGAAATATCACGCACGGCTAACGCTGGTGCCGCCTACGGAGGAGGTGCAGGAGGTCGACCCGAAGGACGTCTACGTTGTGCATGGCGGCAGGTTTCTGGAACCAGAACAATTTGCTGCACTTTACGGAAGCCTTGACAAGAGCAACCGCTACAGCGTGATGGGCTGGACCCGGGATTTCTCGTCTGTGGGAGACCCCGAAATGGTTTTGGTGGAGTTGCTCTGCTTCGTCGAAGAGGAGATCCCCAACATCGAGATCCCTGGGCGGGCCACCCCGCTCCCTGCAGTTGTCGGTGTGACGCGCAAGCCCATTCCGCAGCTCCGGGAGACCGGTGGCCAATGGCAGGATCGTCAATGGAGCCAGTCGTACTGGGGAAGTTGGGGCCAGTCCTGGGACTCGTGGTGGTCTGATGATCAGCGCCCGTGGAAGAGCTCCCGCAATTGGGATTGGCGATGAATGAGCGATCTCTTCGACAATATTTTCTATCTTCGGCTGACATCCATTTACATTTCAAATTCAATTTCCATTATACTTCTCAATCATGTTGGCCGAGGATCAATGTACAGTGCACGAGCACGCCTCGCGAGAGCGACGGTCAGTGGAGGCGGAAGACCTTAGCTACCGATCGCTCAAATCCAAGTGCTTGTGTGCTGCAAAATGACATCATGCCTATCGGGTTTCTTTGGTTGTCTCATCCCTTTCATTTGTCCTCCTGTTTCACATTCGGGCACGGGGGGTGTAGTTTGCAACGTGATGTATTTATCAACCATGTAAACCCCAATGCATGCATGTCTCACTTGTGCAGTCTCATCATTACGACTGCACGTGGCTCAAGGAAAAAGCGCGCTGAGTACAGGGTTCAATTGTGACCCTTCCCGGTTGTTTAACCTGTTCTATAGTTAACCTGCTATAGTGATAGCTGGAAGCGATGATGTCGATGAAAGCATGATGGGAGGGAGACCCCGGCTTCGCAGCTTGTCCGGGTTTAATTACCAAGTTACACACGCAAGTCAACAATTAGCTGTTCAACACCAGAAGGGGGCAGTCGCCCCAAACCCGTGTTGAATCCATTTTCGACATTCAATCTCGGGGCAACATCACTGCAGCCGGAGTCCTTTCATCCGAGTTCCGACCGTTCCAGAGCTTGAATGTTAGCCTCTTGCACCCCTGGGATTCATTTGTAGCACCTGCCCTCCAGCATATCTCTTGGCAACGGAAAGTCAGCATGGCTAAATGTCATCAGCATATGCTTTGACAGAGGCGGTTCTGCATAAACACCTGTTTTCATACTTTGGGTCCAAACGGGCTTAAAACCCCGGACAACCCCCCGGACCAACAACCCTCCGGACAGCTTTGAGGGCACACAATCGGCGGGACAACTCCCCGGACAAACCCCCGGACAACCCTCCGGACCCCTCGGACAAACCCCCGGACAACCCTCCGGACAGCTTCGAGGGCCCAAAAGCCCGGGACAAACCCCCGGACAAACCCCCGGACAACCCTCCGGACAGCTGTGAGGGCCCAAAAACCCGGGACAAACCCCCGGACAAGTCTTCGGAACACGCCAAAACCACTCGGAAACCACTCGCTCGGAAACCACTCGGAACCCGCTCAAAACCACTCGGAAGCCACTTGGAGGGAAGTATTCTTGCGAGAGGGGGGGTTTGCAGCATAAATCTCGGCAAAGTGCGCGGACAACCCTCCGGACAACCTTCCGGACAACCCCCCGGACAACTTGCTGGACAGTTGTTTGTCCAGCAGTTTGTCCCGCACTTTGTCCCGCACTTTGTCCCCCACTTTGTCCCGCACTCCCGCATATCGAGGGGGGTGTTTATGCAGAAGGGCATTCGTCAACATATGCTCTTTGACTTCATCTTCTCAGGGCTTTGAATTTTCAGTTGCATCCGAGTTCTGATAAAAGGTGAGTAGATGGAAGATAGTTACAAAGGGTTTGCGTCCCATCTGACATTCTCTGAACATGGGGCGAGCTAGATGCCTGTCGCTCCCTTAGCTGCCTTCAATGTGTTTTCCGTTCGATGCAGGCTGCCTTTGGATAGTTCATGGATCGCAGGTCTCTTCACCCAAAGGCAACCTGAACCCTACCCAGCCCAGCAACCTAGATATCAACCCTTTGCTGAGCCCAAATGAACCCCGAACCAGTCCAAGACAAGCCGCCGAATCAGACCTCCATACGCAGCCCTGCCGGTGATGCTGGAGATTCGAAAAAAACCAACGCTAGGAACAAACCAGCCCTAAGCAACACAAAACCACCTCTACCAAAGCGGCACCTTTTGAGCCCCTGCAAGGTGAGCTTCCCTTGGTAAGGGTGGCGGTTGGGAAAATATTGGGCACCTTGTTTTCAGGATTTGCGTTTGTCACCGGCTGTTGCCTAGTAAGAGTGAAGACCTTTCACTTCCGCAGTCCTCCACAGCAGGGGGCTTGACCTGGTCTCACCCCCTGTACCCTTTCAACCAAATTCGAGCGTGTGCGTTTGGGAAACTCGTGGTCGTTTGCCAAGTTGAAGACAAGCAAGCTGAACTAGCAGGTTTTCAAAGCCACCGGGGGAGATCACCTTAAACCCGGGTTGCATCCATTTGGTAGAAAAGAAGTTCATTCTTGGGCCAACCTTACGCCATCAAAGGGGTGGAACGGTGGAACGTCACTAAACACCAGGTGTGTGGCGATTGGCCCCGTGGCAAACCTGAACCAAGGAGCTGGAGTTGTCCGATGTTTGCTTTCAAGAAAGAGCTGGGAGCTGTCAGGAGTTACTTCCATTTGGTTTTCAGAATAGTTTTTGTTTTCCACTGTTGGTTTTAAAGGGAATCTATCACTACTGGAAATATGTTTTTTCCAGGGGACTTAAGCAAATGGAGGGTTATGGACAGTAGTTTCGCACTCGAATGACATAGGATTTGACCTTTGACCTTCAACTTTTTGGGACAATACTTGTGGTCCTGCAAAACGCCCACAACAGAGGATTTCTTGCAAATCGCCGATTGCTTCAGCAACCTGTGCAGGGGGGTCGCTTCGATGCATTTTATTCAGTTCCTGGGAATAGGAGGTTAGGCATGCATCCCTGATTCATGTCCATCAAAGTCATACCCAAGGATTTGTCCCTTATTTGCTTGGCTTCCACACTAAACATACGACCCCAAGTTCTTCGCTGGCCCAAAGCGTCCATTTCACCTGTTTGTATGCTGGCCGTTGGTTCTAGAATTCGCCAATTCAAATTCTTACTTTATGGCTGTTTGGTTGGATCTTTGGACTTTAGGTTGAAAGCTTTTTTTGGGACCGATTCCTATTTGGAGAAGCACCCAGAATTAACCAACCCTTGGTATTTGTCAATGAACTTCTTAGGGTTCTACAAAACCAATGCTAAACTTTTGCAGAGGGGTCAGCAGCAAGGCATGGGTGTCCTGTGTTTGAGGGTTCCCTTTTTGAGGGGTTGGCTTAAGAGGGAAGCCAACCGGAAAACCAGAAACCACGTTGACTAGGTTTCCCAGTAGTGCCCTTTTACCCTTGTTTAGGGGAGATTCCCATGGGTACCAACTTATTCTAACCTCTCGACTGGAGGACCTAGTTGAAGCCTTTTTGTTTTTGTTTTGCCTTTTTGGGGGGTTGGCTTAGGGAAGCCAACCTGAAAAACGGAGACGTTGAAGCTTCCCCAACTTAGGGGCCCTGCCCGCATCTGCCTGGCGCCCTGGCGTCCGGGCCCACTCACCGTGGGTCGCCTTCCCGGCTCCGATCTCGCGCTGCCCTGCTCCGCCGTGTCCACGCTCCACGCGGAGCCGAGGGGGCGGCTTCGGGTGTTCGAGGTTGGGAACTCTTCCATTTGCTTCGTCGCCTGTTGGTTTTAAAGGGAATCTAGCACTACTGGAGTTTTTGTTCCAGGGGTCTTAACCAAATGGAAGGACTTGGTTTTGGGGATTTGGCCTTTTGAACTAAGGGTTTAGATGATATGTTTGGTATTTGGTTTGGCGGTGTTTAAGGTCTTACCAAACCCACGGAATCCGAGCAGGTAGTACTACCCAACATTTGACCCGTTTCATGGGCAAGGGTTTTTAGGGTCTAGGTTTAAGGTTTTTAGGGTTTAGGTTTATTTTTTCGGGTTTAGGTTTAGGGTTGTTAGGGCTTAGGCTTAGGGTTGTTAGGGTTTAGGCTGAGGATTTTTAGGGTTTAGGTTTAGGGTTTTCAGGTTTTTTAGGGTTATTCTTGGGTTTAGGTTTAAGGTTTTTAGGGGTTTAGGTGTAGGGTTTGAAGGGGTTAAGGTTTGCTTGGAGCTGGCAGTCCGGTGCATCCGAGGCTGGCTTCTCTGGTTTAGATTTAGGGGTGTGTTAAGTCGCCGCGTTCCATGAAGGGGGTATGGAGCATGAAGCTGGGGTGGGGCCCGGGAGGCTCGGAAGTGCGTTTTTGCTGCGCCTGCCACGCTTTTTGGAGGTCTCGGGGACCCGCTTCCGGGCGGCCGCGGGCAACACATACTTTTTGGCCGAAATGTTACATGGAGGATTTGGGAATTATACTGGGTTTTGGTCATTTGAGCAGTTTTGACGTACTCGATCTTTGGAGAACTCGGCCACCCAGAACTTGGCACTTGCAAAAAGGATGCAAAAGGCCATGTGAGAAGTCGTATTTTTTGAACCGAACATACTATGTATGTGGGACAGATGTTTGCAGATTTTCATGGCTGTTATGACAGTATGTCGCATCAGGGTGAAGCCAGATTACACTATTCCCTTAGTAAAGGTTTGGAGAACTCCCCAAAACTGGACGCTGCGGCATGTACTTTTACCCAAGTGTACATTTCACGGTGGGCCAGATTCAATCATATTTATTCGGTCCGAGCTTTTTCTATCAAAGGATGGTTTAAGGATGATGGAGAGATTGGGTTCTCAGAAAAGACGGGTCACGACATTTATGTATATATATATATGCTTGATTCGGCGTTGATTCCAACTGTCCTCCTAAAACATTGCCAGCCTTGGCAAATCTTGAAGTTGATTTCTCTTTTCGGTTCCTGCACGTTCCCTTTTTGCCGCAACATGTCTTCGGCTTGGATCCCCCACCCCCCCCAGCGGTTCACGGGGAAAAGTGGCCGCCTTGCATCCCCAAAAAGTTGTTTGTAGAATTCATCTTTGCTTGCGCCGCCGAAAATCGGGCGTGGCAACCTCAAAAAACAAACATACCTTTGCAGTTCACGGGGAAAAGTGGCCACCTTGCATCCCCTCAAAAAGTTACTAGGTCCCCCAGTAGTGCCCTTTGACCCTTTTTTGGGGGAGGGTTCCCCGACTAAAATAGAGTACCGGAAAAAGTTGGTACCCTTATTCTAACCTCTTTTACTGGAGGACCGAGGCTAGTTGTTGAACCTTTCAGTGGGCTTGGGGTTCTGAAAACCATGGTCCGGTGGGGTTTCCGGATCGAAGGAGCTGATCCTGGCAGAGGACGGCTGCGTGCGCGTCTTGGACCGCTCCAGCAACGGCGCCCTGGCCACCCGTTTTGCGTTTTCTCTCGCGGCGCGGGGCCAAAAGGAGGTCCGGAGAGGGAGGGGTCCCTTAGAGAGAAACAATGATATAGACACGAAAAATTGGGTTCTTGAAGTGCCAAATTGGGCTTTTTGACCGAGGGTTGGGTTCTTGAAGTGCCAAATTGGGCCTTTCGACCGAGGGTTGGGTTCTTGAAGTGCCAAATTTGCTTTTTGACCGAGGGTTGGGTTGAACTGCCAATTTGGCTTTTTGACCAAGGGTTGGGTTCTTGAACTGCCAAATTTGCTTTTTGACCAAGGGTTGGGATCTTGAACTGTGAACTGCTTTAGGGGTGAATGGGAAAGTGTCCCCTCAGCCCCGAATCCAAATCAATTGCCAGTACTTGGTGGACACCTGGCCATGGGTTGCAGAACCTATGGCGATCCCATTTTGGGGTGGATGAACATCCATTTGCCACGTATTTTGATGTTCACCAGAAAATTCAGGATTTTGACCCACAGCCACCTAAGAAGAAAAAAGACACCTAAGAAACGTGGTGGCGAAGCCAGCCATCCGGTTCCCAGCCCAGGAAAGAGATTGTGGAGAAGGAAGTGAAATCCGTTGCTCGGGCCAACCCGTTGTTTAAACATGCTTAAACCACCATTGTTGACACAACATCCTTTAAGCTTGTCTTTGAAGGGGCCGAAACGGGCTTGGACAAGCATATTTTGCGACCCCACCGGGGTGTTGGAGCTTAGAGTGTTCTGAGAACAAGCCTGCAAAACCCTCCAAACCATCCATCATTTCCAGTTGTTGGTAACCTCTTCAGCTTGCGCTTTGGTGGTCCATCCGGTTCCGTGGCCACCAGAAAGCAGACGTCAGCATTGCGGACTCGCGCTGTAGAATACTGATTCAGAGCCGTAAGGGGAGCAATCAATTGGTGACCCTTGGTGCCTATTCGCTGTCAAAGGACAACTACCGGCCCACCCCCTAGGCTCATGTTTTCGGGAAGATTCCACATCCATTCAGGCCGCTTTTTATAGAATCATGGTTCCCCTTTGTGGGTACGCAAGGGTGAAAGTAGCCCAGTTGAGTAGAGAGGATGAACCCCCAAAAATTGGGGATCACGCTATCTATGTTCACTCCACGCCGAGATTTTCAAGTCAGATTTGCAACCCAGAAACGGGAGGGTACTTAATTTGCACCCGGAAACGATCCGAAGCCCATCGGGGGAAATCATGTGGCCTGCTTCATTGCGGAGCTCACCGATTCGGGTTTTTTTACGACCCAGATCAGCGGGTTCCTTGGTTTCTCCTCACATTTTCCTGGTTCACCTTTAACCACCGATTGCTCTTTCTCATGGCCAGGACCTACTGGGGAACGCTAACTTGGATCCTAGAGGGTCGGTTTCTTTGAGGAAATCCGTCCAAACGACCCCGCTGCGCGCAAAATGCACCCCTTGGGTGCACATTTTGCCAAGAGATGCTGGGACTTTAACTTTTTGCCGACTAATGGGGTTTCCATTAAACCACTAAAAGTTAAACTTTTAGCAGAGGAGCAGAAAGCAACCGAGCCTCGTTGATACGGACCCAGCCCCAGCCTCGCGCGCGAGGCACGTTCCTCAACGGGGAGCAGCTGCGGAAGGGCACCCCGACGCAGCTCAAGGAGGGCGATGTCATCTCCTTCAGCGAAAACGCGCCTTCAGCTGCCACCATTTTTCTTTAACACCCATAGGCTTGAGGGTATATGTTGAAATACCCGGAGCTGCCACCATGCTTTGTTCTTTCTTTTTGTTCTATTAAAAACATATATATATATATAAACACCCATAGGGTTTTAAGGGATGTTGAAAAGCCTAGGCGAAAGAGTGTCCTTCTTTTCAGGAAACCATGAACCACCCAGGGAAACAGCAGGTGTTTGAAAAGAATGGGGAATCCACCCCTAAAACCTATGTGTTGTGCACCTTGTTCGGAACTCTTTCGGCACACTTTTCGGGCCCCGCCGGCGGAGCATACGCATTTCACTTAGAGCTGATGTCCAGCTTGTGGACAACGGGCCATCAGAGTGTGTCAAGGGATCCCTCATCTTGGGCAATCTAGGTAGGGTTCCTGCTAGCTATGGTTCCACATTTGTCTCATGTTTTCCAGTGATTCCGGGGGGCGGCCGAATTGATGCGATTTCGTTCCGCTGATTTTGTTCATCCCGAGACGTGGTGCGAGTCCCATTTGTTGCTTTCACTGGAACCCGGCAAAAACCACCCATGGCTAGTTTTGGTGTGACCAAATCTCCGCGACCTTTTGGACAGATTTTGCTTTTCCATTCCTGCAACAGGAATCCTCACTGGGGTTGCAACTCAGTTTGACTCCTGTTTTAGGCGTATTAAAGGAAGCCAACGGAAGACCAACCAGGAATACCCACCCATTCTGCGGGGGCACCCCCATATCAAGGTTTCCGGGGAAATCAGAAATAAACAGTCCAGGACACCGGAAACTAAGGGAAAAGGCAAAACAAAGCACAAAAACAACAACAACAACACACTCACCCACATTGCGTGTGCCCCAAGTGGGACGGATTCCGATGGCACGAGACATAGAGAGAGCTTGGGTTGGGTCCGGAAACCCAGGAAACAGCAAAACTAAACCCAAGCAAGCACACACACACACCAAAAAAAAATACAAACCCACACCCACCCATATTGGCTTGGCTCGGGGATCGCTCGGGCATCGCCGAGTCGGAGTCGGAGTCGCGGAGTCGGACGCTAGGCCCAGCGCCCGGGCTACGTCTTTCTGGTCTTCGAGACCTTGGCCATGGCGAAGCTGGAGGCCCTCAAGACCGAGGTCCAGGAGTTCCAGGCCGACGGCTGGCTTCGTCGCCCTTAAAATAAAAGTAAAATCTGGAACGGGAGGTCGCCGTTGTTGTTGTTGTTTTTCCCCTAAAAAAACACAATAACTTATTTATGTGTTGCGCCGTTTTGTTTGGGGATTCGGAGTGTTTTTTTTGGGATGGGAAGACGGGAAGGCTCCCCCATGTGCGGACATGAGGATTTGAGCGGGGGTCAGGTTGTTTGGAGTTGGCACCGTTTTTTGTTGTTGTGCTGATTTCAAAAGGGAAACGCACGGGCAAACCGCCCTCATTATGATTTGGTCCGGGGGGGCCCACAAAAAGACACATCCAGAATATGATTCACCAGTTGTCGTAGGTTTTCGTTCGAAGTAGGTACGCCATTTGCTTCAGTCCCCCGGAAACAAAGACAGATTCCCAGAAGTCATGAGTTCAGTTTTGAACCATCACGGAACATAGCATTGTGTCCTGTTACAAATTCACTTTAAGACTAACAGGATTGAACATAAACACATGCTCGTGTACAAAAATGAAGGTGATTACATTTCCTTTAAAGCCAACAGGTTTGAACATAATTACATAGTGGCTCATTTCGCACTGTGTGATGCCCGCAGTTTTCGGCGAAAACTGCCATTGCCACAAGGCTTCTGTGTTCTTGCTTTAGTATTTTCGGGTGTGCTTAATTGTCCCTGTTGGCTGTGCTTACCCTTCGGGGGTTGCCAGCAACAAGTTGACGTGTTGCAGGAATTTGGTTGGATCCGTTTGGCCCAGCTTCAGGGATAACCTGACACATGGAGCCTGAGGATGTGTGTGTTCTTTCAAGCGGCCTTTTTTGCTGGTACACAAGGTTCAAGACGCTTCAGGGGGCATTTCCACAATTGCACAGCCTTGAGGGGACATCCTTCTGGCCCTGGATTCATCCATGGCGTTTGGTGGATTAACGCATGGGCCGTGGAAAGGCCGTGGGTCGGGCCTCTTGCTCAGGTGCCAAGCTACCCGAAGCGCAAACGAGCAGAGGAGGTGTCGGTTTCCGTCCCGCGGAAGCGCTCGCGAAATGAGCGCGAGCTGAGTTGACATCCGCCGGGCCGGGGGCATGGGCCCACTTGCCGGCTGACTTCGATTTGCTTAAGTTGTTTTTTTCCCCTGTCGGATTTTAAAGGGAATCTATCACTACTGGAAATATTTATTATTTGTTTCCAGGGATCTTAACGAAATGGAAGCTGATCAAATCGTCTAGACCAAGAAGAAGGGCCCCATGTCCATGGCTGAGCTTGAAACCGCCACTTCCTTTCGGGTTTTCAAATGGCTTGTCCGTGAAACCGGTCATCGTCAGGCGGGAAGAGCAACTCAGCTCACCAACCGGTGTTTTGTCCTCAGGTGGTTGACGCTCCGAGTTTCACTGGGGGGGGCCTCGAGGGTCAGGCGCACGCCTTCAAAGCTAAGGCCCGTGAGATGCGGCGCGCCGGGGAAAATGAAGTTACCAGGTGGCGCATCTCTAAGCTTCATAAGATGGAAACTCCGAATTCGCGTTAAGGTTGCCTAAATACGAAGCAGCATCTGAACATATTATTTTTGGCGCAGCCTGGAGTTGGACCAAGTAAGGCATCAAGCACCTGTGTTTGCCTGGGTTGGGGCAATCCTGTTCTCCTCATGGAACAGGGGCTGGAATGTTTTGCAGTTGGTCTTGTTCCACTTGAGGTTCCATTCTTGTAGGCACACTGACAAAGCGCAGAGACGGGCAATCAACATGAATCAACCCAACATGCTAAAAAATGGTCAATAGCCTGAAAGGAACCACACTTGGAGCGAGATGTCTTGCTGCAGGTTCGGTTCATCCATCCCCTGAGTTCATTTGGCAGGACCGGGTTCCTTCTAAAGCAGAATCCAGCATTTTGGGCTTATTCCCAAACCCCGCATGTTTGCTGAAACTTCCACTCATGCGAACAAATGCAATCTGCAAACCTCATACTATAAGGGCCATAAAAAAAATATAATTGGTTGTGGGGTGCTATTTTCAGCACAATCCCGCCCCCACCAACCCCCTTTTCCTAGGCCCTCAGTTGGGTCTAAACCAGGAAACGGCGCTGCAAGAGAATCCAATGAGAGTTGAAGCTGGCCGAAACATGTCCAAACATGGCATTGACTTTTTCATTCGAGGCCCACCTCAAAAGTGGTGGGTGGACATGAATCCTCACCCAAATGCCTAGCAAAGGGCCCCTGAACAAGTCACACCCAAATTGGGGCACCAGTTGCGGTTACGTTTCTCCCTACACCGAAGACTGGCCTTCGCTTGCCCCGGTGTGTCTGAGGCGGTGCTGTGCCCAGACCTCTTGGAAGAACTCCTGGCAGAGGCACTCGACTCCAAGCGCTTTCCTATGGCATTGCGCCCTCTGGACCCTATAGCCAATTTCCAGCTAGCCTGGTTATTTTAGCAACATTGATTTATTTGGGATTTTGTTGGCTAATTGCCCTAGGTAATCCCAAGCGTGCAATTGGAAAATCCTTCGACGTTTTGGTTGGGGATGTCAATCGTAAAGCACCGTTTTGGACCCTGCCGAGCGCCGCGCACAGAAAATGGATTAAAACAGGCCCAGTCGGCACCTTGAGAATTTAGTGGTTGAACTGGCAACAAAATCAACTTCTGGATCTTCAACCTTTCACCTTCGGGCAGCAAAATCAACTTTTGGATCTTCCACCTTTCACTAATTCACCTTTGACCAAACATGTGTTTTCCCACATATATGCCCAAAGTTGAATGTGGACCCGGGGGGCATAGCCACAGAGGTTGCTGCCTTGAACTCACATGACACCAACTGGGTCTTGGTAGTTGGTAGGTTCCTACATGTTAGTCAAGGCACCGGCACTTTTCCGTCTCAACTCTGCAGATTAGTCTACGACAGGAAGAACCAAGTCTGTATATAGGCAAGAAGTTACATTAACACTTCACTGTTGTTGGCATGTCTGTCTGGCATGACCATTTGAGCCATTCACCCAGCCAGATATGTTGTTTTTGTTTTGTTTTGTTTGTTTTCAGTTTGATATTTAGCTGGGTTTCGTTGACATGCCAAGGCTTGGAAAGGCTTAGCCAGACAACGCTGGTCAGTCCTTACGGAACTTTCTGGAACCCAAGCACATCAAAAGATAGACCTCCGTTGGTCTATTGAAGTCTTTCCCAGTGGCATTCTTGGGGTTTCCCCACAAGAGGAGTGTAGTTGAAAGATCACTGAAAGAACAGGGTTGCCTAGGTTTGTTTTGGCCTTGAGCATCACACGTTCGAGACTTGAGGAAGGTCTTTTGTGAATCAACACGTGTCATTTAGGGAACCCTGAAGAAGGGAATCCAACTTGCAAGAGGGGGCTTGACCCTTAGTATTGTTTGTGAGGGGTTTGTAAATCGGAGATTGTCCCAAAACGTGTTGACACTCTTTTGAGGGCATTTGGGGGGGTATGTTTTGCACGCTGCGGAGTCCTGCCAAGATTTGGATGGAGAGGAGCTGTCCTTCTAAACAAAACGGCACACTAGGGATAATTTGCCAACCAAGCGACATGGGTTTATTGCCGGGGCAATCGCCGAGGACCGACCTTTCGGTATTTGTTGCGACAGTTCCCATCTACGCTCTCTTTTTCGAAAGAAAAATGCTATCAGAATAATGATACTAATAATAAGCAAGAAAAATGAGGTTCTTTTGGTGCTGCTGTCTGGAAAAACATCTCGCAGGGCACCCTTTTCGGGATACCTGTGACCGGGGCCCTTTTTGCGGGGGTGTTGGACGAACATTTAGCGTGGGACTCCTACCTCCGGTTGGTTGGCTGATTGGCTGGGTGGCTGGTTCGTTGGCTAGTTGGTTGGTTGGCTGGTTGGCTGGTTCGTTGGTTGGTTGGCTGGCTGGCTGGTTGGTTAGTTGGGTTCACAAAAATGGTCCACCCCAAAAACGTATCCCCAAAACGGCTAAAGGAGGTACTGGTTTCCTGGGACTCAGCTTCTTTGCGGAGAGGCTGGGAATCTTTCCAACTCAACAGTTTAAATGGTTTGATTCCACATGTCCCCCAGTCCTCTTTTTGCACTTGTCATTCGTTGCGGCGCTGGCTGGAGCCTGGGTTTAGGAGCTGCGCTCTTCGAACGAGGATAGCTTTGACCTCTTTGGTGCGAAGCTGAGGATCTGTCCGCGTGGCCGAAGCCCAGGGGAGTTGTGCAGCCCCCCGAAACGAAAGGAACCACAGTGCGAAATCAGTCTTTGGATGTCTTTGGGGTGCCGGACGCTTGTCCCCGGGCATTCGAGCTTGGAGATTGCTCGGGCCCCTAAAATGGGCATTTCGGTGTGCCGTTCGGTGTCCTTTCAAAAACCTCACGCCTCAGAGACACGCATGAGCAACGGATATGGCTGGGATTTTGCTTTTCCGTGTCCCCTATTGGCTTTGCAGGTTTGGTATCCTGTTGTGGCTGGTGCCCCCTCCATTGGTTTGGGCAGTGGAAATCTCACTTTCTCACAACCTGCGAAGTAGACGACAGGTGGTGGTGCTGGCCATTGAATCCAAAATTCAACAAGGAGGCAGCGGGACAAGTGGGTCTTGCTGGAAACCAATTTTTCAGGGTCGGTCCATGATGTGGTCCATTTCCATGTACGCCTTTTAACTGGTTCCCTTGAGCACCTTGAAATTTGGGGACATTTTATGGCACTTTTGCTGGCACCTGCTGGTTTTGTTGCCTCTGCGCAAATGATTCCTTTCTGGGTCCCTTGGTGCAGTGGCAAGTGACCTCGTTCGACCCACCATCCACTCAAAGAGCAATAGAAGAGTCCAAACAAACCAAACATGGCCTCACTGTAGTCATGGCTCAAGTGAGGTTACCCTCCCACCAATCAACATGGAACTTGACAGGGGCCCGATCCCTTTCAAAGGAAAATGAGCTTCCCGGACCCGAACGTCAGGTTCCATGTTAACTAGGTCCCCCAGTAGTGCCCTTTCTCACACCTTTTTTGGTTGGGAGGGTTCCCCTACTAAAATAGACAAAGAAAAAAGTTGGTACCCTGATTCTACAAAAAAGAAAAAATGGTACCGTTAGAATTCTATCCTTTTTAGTGGAGGACCTAGTTAAAGTGGTGGGAGGGGGGGGGCACTTGGACCGGGCTGCCCTCTCCGGCGATCCAGTCCCAGGCGACGGCGCCGGAGCGGAAGCGGAAGCGGCTGCCCTCGCGGTGGAAGCGCGGCTTGAGACCCTGGCTGGGAGGCCGAGGCCTCAGCTCGTCACGCCCTCGCCAGAGAAACCCGAGACACACACACAGAGACACACACACACACAGAGAGACACTGAAACACCAAGTGCTGGACTTTTCGTTTTTTCCCCCAACAGCTGAAAGCTTTGGGGTCTCAGATACGCTCCGGGGTGGTCTACCAGGGTTCCACGGCATTCTGCGAGGGCTGCGGGGTGGTGCTAGCACTGAAAAGAGCGCCGCATGCTGTTGGGGATGTCACCTGAGGTTTTTTTGTTTGTCTGGGGCAAAATTAATACCGGCTGGAAAACGCATGCAGGTCCTTGCCTTTTCTATTTGTTCATGTTTTTTTTGTTTTTTATATATATTAATATTTGTTTATTTCACCTCGGAACGTTCGCAACTTGGATTTCGTGTTGCGCCCTTTTCGGCGGGGGAAGAGTTCGGTTGGGAACCGGTCACCATGTCCGTGATGGACCAAATCTTCCCCATATCAGGCCTTCCAGGGGCCTCACTTCTCGAGTTCCTGGACCTTAGTCGCTTTGGGGTCACCATTTGAGTAGATTGCAACGAGTCTTAGCTTTTGTTGCAGCCCAGCAGCCCAGGAAGTGAGAGCTTCCTTTGCTCCATTTGTTTAATCAATGCAAATCGCTGAGATCGGACCTTTAGTTTTCGCGTCTGGACCATGTGGTTGCAAAAGATTGCCCTCATACAGGGCGTTTGTTTTTCTGTTAAACCTAAAATATGCATCCCAAAGAAACTCACTTTCAATTGGTCTCTCCAACGTGCGGCTATGTTTTCCCACCTAAAATATGTTCACCACAGGGCCTATTACAATCCACGCTCATTTGGGGTTGGCGACGCGCTCGCCAAATGTCTTGTAGGAACCATGTTTGTTTGTTTGTTTGCTTGGTTGTTTGCTTGTTTGCTTGTTTGCTTGTTTGCTTGTTTGTTTGTTTGTTTGCTTGCTTGCTTGTTTTTTTTTGAGTTTTTGTTGCAGCAAAGTCGTTCAGTTGAACACCCAGCTGCGTTTTTCAGCCAATCACTCTTAACTCAAACTCTTGTATTGGGATCCTTCACGCCTAGGACCTGGAGCCGTTCGGGGGCGAAGGTCACATGGGACTTCTCGAGCCGTCCAAAAATTACCACATCCATATCTGGGAAGGGAGAGTGCTGTTTTGTTTAGGTGACCCCTTTGGATTCCCCTTCAAACACCACAAAAAGGCGTACCCTCAACACAAAGACACTTTGGGTTCCAGCATGTTCTCATGAAGCGGGTGGGTGCCTTCGCCTTTTTGATTCTTGAAGCATGGTTCTGGGGATCGACCATGTTAATACGGATGGGTATGACTCTAACCAAAATCTTATGGAGAGTCGGGAAAGAGAAGAACTGTTTTGTCCAGTCCATAGGTCCATCCTTGTAGGAAAACAACTACAATATTGACATTGGAGGGCAAAGGTGGGTAAATATTTCATTCAACCTGGTGGCTCCCAGCCATCCCCCCAGCATTTTAGTTTTTTAGGCTTTGGTTGTAGTTTCCACTTCACCCACTGCAAGTTAAACTTTTAGCAGGGGATCTGAGGGCAGCAAAGTGAGGCTTCCCGTCACATGGCCCATGGACGCAGGCTCTGTGTGTCGGACCTGCCTACGCGGTATCGCTCCCCGGCCTGGCGAGGGGGCCCGAGACTGGGGCGGGTGACCGCCTTTTGAGGATCCTGACAGACGAACCATCGCACCACTTGATGGGTGGTGTAGCCAATGTTTGTAGGTTTCAGTCGTAGGTGGTGTAATGTCGGTCGAATGCCCCAAAAGGCGCCACAATTATACCAAGAGGGGCGATTTTAGCGCTTATGGGCCTCTTGCTGGGAGATTCCCATGTCGGGATGCTCTTACATGTGATGGTGGGTGGCATGGTGGTTCCCCTTTTCATAAGGACATGATCTGCATTTTGGGGATTACTCGACACCCCCTTTAAGTGGATATGGGGACAAAAAAACACCTCCCAAAGAAGAAATGCTTGTGCTTGCAATGTTCTCCTACATGTCTTTTTTTGGATTTGGACCCCAAACCCCAAAATGGGTGGGTTCCCTTTCGGAAGCACAAGAAAGGAGTAGCCTGGATGTGCGGGAAAGGAATGGGACCTTGCAAGACATTTGGCACGAGTTGCGTGGCAGGTTGTCGCGTGGCAGGTTATATAATCAACCTGACAGATTAATAGGGGGTCCTCCCAGACGTGATCCAAGGAGGTTTTTTGAATGGGGTGTCCCGTATGACTCAACAAGACTTTACGAAGCCTGTATAGAATTATTGCCAGGCCGGTGAGGCTTGTGCAAGTGAGGCCTTCCAAATTCGGATCCCAAAGAGAGAGACACCAATACTGAGGCCGATTTTTTTTCAGCCAGAAAAAGGCAAAACATGGAATGAATCACTGGGATGCATTTTTCCAGACCATTTCCCCAATTTCCCCAAATTTTGGTGTCCCACGTACATGGCTTTGTATCAGCCTTCCTTTCTCCAGGTTCCTTGTCAAGGAGGTGGCTGGCATGGCCATCCCCTTGGTGCCCCGGGCTTCCGGCCAAGTTCAGCAGGGAAGCGCCGGTCCACGGCGCACATTTTTTTCCCCAAGGTCCATCCAAGGGAATTCACATGCGGGGTTTGCAACATGGGCTCGCTCCGGAAATGGTCTTGGACCCTCGGAATTTTCGAGGTCTGTTCGGATGTCGAAATGCAAGAATTTGGTTGCCACAGTAAAAGGGCACAGGCCAATCTGACGCACTCACGTCTGGATTCTTTTCTCCAGCGTCTCACGCCGGCCAATTCACAGTAAGTTGTTTGGGAGGAGCCGTGAAGATCGAGCATCCGCAATGGCGATGGAGGGGGCCCAATGAAGGTCATCAGGGAATGAGGGATGGCCCCCATACACCTTTTTGCCGTTGTTTTACAACGGGATGCTCTTCCGATTCATTCCCAGCTCCCCTTTCGAACCGCTTAGACAATTCGCTTCAACATGGCTACGCAGGAGCCATGTGTTTTAAGCAAAGGGTTGGGTTCAAGGAGAGCGCGGACCAGCCAGATCGAACTTCCCAGAGAAAATCTGAAAAAGATCGCATGTGAAACCAGGGAGCTGACAAGACCCCAGGGTGACCAGTCACCCTCTTGACACGTGCCCGTGCGAACATGGGACACTTTTTTGCCGTTTAAGCAGTTGCTGTTTTGAAATCACAAGTTGGGCCAATGGTAGTTGACTGTGCGGCAAAGCCACATTTACTGCCATCCATGGCCTCAAAGGCAGGAGCCTCCAAAAAACGGTGGGGTGCCCATTGTCCCTTTGAAACCCCAACAAAAGGGAACCCTCTCAAAAGACACACTCAACTGAAGCTTGGAACCTTCATTTCACCAGGCTTACCTCAAATGGAGATCCATTTTGTGCAGGTCAGCCCTTGGTTCAGCCCCGGAAAATGAGGTTTTCTCACCAAAACCCTGCAAGGGCCATTTCAATAGGTGTTTCTGCCTGGACTTGAAACAGTGGGGCCCATACAAGCCAAATCATAGCCATTTCGGCAGAACCAAATGGCATTATTATTATTATTTAAATAGGGAACCACCTCAAAAGTCATTGGTGGACATGAATCCCCACCTAAAAAAACACACCCAACTATCACTGGCTGACACGGCTGACTCACTTGATCGCAGCTTCCAGGTACTTGGCTGCTCCAAGCAAGGTCACGGCGATGTGATCTGGGTGGCCGCCTAAGTTCCGAGTCTTTGGGCAGAACACGCTCTGCCTATGTTGAGGTGTTTGATCCAAACAGGACACCCCCCCCCCTCCCGAAAAATAGGTGGTTTCCGGTTGGTGTCCTAAGCCAACCCCCAACGTGGGTTCCCTCAGACAAATACCCCGAGCTCATTGAAAGTATAGTTACAACCAGCTCCTTGCCAAGGGCCTTTGCTTGGGAGGGGGGTGCTTAGTTTATTCAGGTGTTGAAAAATGGTGTATTTTTGCAGAAAGATGGATGTTCACTTGTTCCTTTTCGAAGGACGGACCCGTTGTTGGCTTGATCTCGGGAAACTAAAAGGAAACCACCACATTTTGAGGGCAGCCCCCAACTACTTGTAACGCAGCGAGCGGGCCGAGCGGGGTGCTGGGTTCAAATACAGGGGCCCTTTCCCTGTTGTGGAACTATTCTACTTTTGAGGTGCGATGGCATGCGCGCAAACCCATCCCATCTTCCAGGGCTGACATGCGAGAAGGCTGACATGTGGGACCCCTTTTGCTTCAGGAACCTAAAGCCAAGCAACCTACTTTTTGCGAAGAGCGTTTCAAGTGGAAAGCAAACAGTTTAGACCCTTCCTGGCCACTCCACTCAAGTCCGACAGCTGCATTGCCATCAGGCCTCCGCAGAATTCGCAGCTGCCGCGCTCATCAACGGTGAGTTGAAGGCGAGCGCTTTTCTGGCGCCAGCTGGCAATTTTAAAACAGAAGGTGTTCAAAGTCTTCGGACGGTAGCTGTGGAACATTCGAAGCCAAGGGGCTTTGCACAAGGACAAGTAGAAAGTGGATGCCTGAGGCTTGACCTTTGGCTGCCCCGGATAAAGGTCTGGTGAAGGATGCCGGAAGGTGGGCAAACTTTGCCCAGCAAACATATATGGTTCATTGGCAAGACAGGGCTTTTTCAACACCAAAATAAAGGGAAACCACCATTTACAAGTTGCAATGTTCAGGCGTATAATGCATCCAGATCGCTGCAAGATGCTGGCGGATGAGGCCCCATGAATGGTGAAACTCCTAGCTGGTGCAGGATGTCGGTTCAGGCCAAGTCTCGGCCCAACCTCTGGTAGCTGCCCGCGTGCGCTTTGAGCAGAGCATCTTGGTCCCCTCTGATCGCTTCGCGCAGCCTCACTGTCTTTGGCGTTGAGGACCCCCAAGTCTCGTTTGGTTCCACCGGTTGGCATCCGCATGCACTTGATGTTGGCACCCTCATGTAGGCGCCTTCTCCCGGGTTTCATGCTTTGACCCTGACCTGGGCACAGTCGCAGCGGGCTCGCTGTTAGCTCTACTGACCGACTTGAGCACAGCTCACAAGTTTGAACTCCATCGACTGCGTTCTCGCTAGAGGTGTGCAACCAACTGCGCGCAATTCAAAAGATGAACTTGTTCAGAGCAAAAACCATGACATGTAAATTTAGCTACAAAGGAGAAAACAAGATGGAAAAAGACATGATGGCAGAGAGAAGATGATCACCACGGTGCAATTGGTGCTGTCATCCAAACAAAGCACACACGAACACGCGCGAACACACAGGTCCTAGCTAGTTCATGTCAGGTTCCGCTCCCATTGGGTTCTGTTGGGGCCTTTTTGACACGCCCGGCTCTGATGTTCTTGGTGGTGTTGCCCTTCCTGCCCCCCAACGGGCCGCATGACTCTTTGCAGCCAGGCGATGTGTACACCAGTCAACACCAGGTGTTCCGCTTTCACTTTCCGTTCCGGTGAGTCCACAACCTGCGGCCAGAGCACCTTGCTGGGCTCCAGGCTTGCCTGCGCTTTGCCGGGCGCTTCTCTTAGCTGCCGCGCAGAGTGCTTCAGACCAAGGGAGCCCTCATTTCACGTAATCTTCGACCTGGTGCAAGGCGAAACCAGCGGCTTTGCGACCACTCATCTTCGCACTGGCAGCATGTCGCGTGGCCGAACTCTGGCTGGTTCATGCAACATGTGTTTCGCCCCTCGGGGGCTCAGGATGCACCAACGACCAGCCCAGCCGTGGGGAAATACGTCTTTGTTGAGGCCAAGTACTTTGTTTGGGCTTGCTTCAAGAAATTGAGAGGGAACCACCTAGTCGAGGGTGTGCTCGATTTGGCCGTGTATTTTTTGAGGGTAACCGGTGTTCGGCGGGTAAGGGGCATCCCCCCAAAAAAAACACACCCATTTAAAGGCCCATTCAAAAATCAAAACACGAGGCTGAAACCGAATGAGGCCAATCCCCAAGCCACGACGATCAATGTTTGAAACCTTTCGGGCGGCTCAGGCTCAACAAGCTACGAATGAATGTGGTCGAAACCTGGCTCGGAAAGGCAACCTTGCGTGGCACTGCTAGCGCGGTTGATTCGAAGGGCGGCATCAGAACAATTGAATCCATCCTGGACAGTGTTTCATGAGATGTTTGACAGGAGTCGGACCAGTTTTAGGAATATACGCTTTCTACGCCCTTTGTTGCAGCAGCCCCGCATGAATAAGAATCACGGGGATGCTTCGACAATGAGGCTTCGCTAATAATGGCGAGCTCACCAATCGCGCTGAGCCATATGGAAGTGCATATGCGTAGTTTTATGGGTTTGTGCTTTCACGAGTTGTGTATTGACCTCATCCCATACATGGATATTCACTTTAGAACCCGTTCCAGCCAGACCGACCCAAACTAGCTCTGAGCAAGGCTGTTGAAAAGAGTATTTCCGGGGGGAGGAGCCACATACCACGGACCTTGCCCCTAACCAGCATCCCAAACAGAAGGTGCTGTCAACATCGACCCGCAGGAGCTGCCCAAATGGCCTTGCCGCGTGCTGGAGGCTAGGCTCAGCTTCCAAGCAGGTGTCTTGTTAAGACAGTACCGCTTCAGGGTAAGAAGAGTTCATGCGTGAACTTCGCCTCGCTGAGTATGCGTAGTTTGTGTGTTTTCTGTGTTTTGAATGTTTTGTGTGTTTTGGTTCTGGTCAGAGGTCCGAAGTACATGTGCTTTGCCCTTTGACTTTTTGGGTGGGTTTAAACATCACCTTGTCGGCCAAGTGAAAATCGGTTTCCTTTCGGGGTGATGCAAATGCATAGGTGTATATGCAAAGTGCAAATATGGCTTTGCATATATACAATACACACAAACCTATTGGCGAAAAAAAAAAAAAAAAAAAACACTTTAGGTGTACATAGCTTTATGTGTATCTTATAGACATGTAAGACATATATGTATGTTTTTTTTAACACAGAAACATATATTGGAGTAAACAAAAACGCTTTATGTGCATATGTCTTTTTAGACGTAATACGCATAAGCCTCTTGGAGCCAACCCAGGACTCGCCGGCGCCGGCGTTAGGTGGGCGCCGGCGTGGGTTTGCCCTCCGCCGCTGCGGCGCGCTTGGGCGCGGAGGCGCGGATCGAGGTGCCGGGCCGCTGGGCCGCTGGGATGCCGAGGTCCGGGAGGGTCCCTTTGGAAACATATTGTTTTTTGTTTTGTTTTTTTTTTGATTCTTACCTCTCAAAAAACACAACTTTTTTCAGCTTTTTGGGGGTAGCATGGGCTATGTAAAAGATGAACTTCCCCAGGGCTTGGAGTTTTAAGGGGTAAACAAATGACAAAGACACCTAGGAAAGAGACTCGGCGGCTCCCAGCCCGGTTCCAGAAAGCTTTGTAAGACTTTAAAGTTGGGTTGGGTAACCCATTTCACCCACTAAAAGTTAGTCACTTTTCGCGGGGGATCAGGTTGGGCAGCCCAGTAAAGAGTGGGCTCAGTATCCAAAGCAGCCCTTTAAAGAGTGAGAGTTTGGATAGCCCTTTAAAGAGTTGCGAAGCTGGTGCTGAAAAGATTCTCCTTTTGCCAGTATCCATCTTCTGCAAGGGTATCCAACTCAGCTCAGTGGGTAGCCGTTGGGTGAGCCGTTGGGTAGCCGTTGGGTAGCTGTTGGGTGAGCTCAGCCTCAGTTCTGCAAGGCTCAGTTGGTTGGTTCTCCTTTAAAGAGTGAGCTCAGTAGGAGTTGTTCCGAAGTTTGGTATCCAAATTATCCTTGAGCTCAATACCAGGAGTTCTGCGTGGCTCAGTTGCCCAGCGAATCGACCGGATCTCAGCTTTGAATTTTATCCCCTTTTTCTTTTTGTTGGTACATGTCTAGTCAGGGTTCCGAAAGATTAGCCTGAACATTTCTGGGCCCTTTGGGCAACGAAGAAGGAATGTTACAGCAGTGAAGTTGGCCAAAGCCTTCAGCAGCGCTTGTCGCTGCTGTGTTAACGTCAGCTTGTGCTTTTCTGCCCCAAAAGGGGAGGGGGGTGGGACCCAACTATTGAAAGGACACTTCTTTTTTGATTGAGTACAAGAGGGACATGAATATGTTAGACACATGAAGCCTCGTTGGTGCGGTTGGGGTGGCAAAATGAGATTGCCAGCTTCTTGTTTTGCATTCCCTCGGTTTTTGTCGCCCTGGTCAAAGCACCCTTTTACTTCAAACACTCTTTTGCTTGGGGTGGTAGGGATGTTCATGGACCCCTTTAAAACGGGACCCTAAGCAACCCTAGAAAAGTTTTGGCCTTTATTCTTAACCCAACTAAACAAACGGGCACTTCAGCTCTTTACAGCGCTCTGTGATTCCCAAAAGCTGCAAGAGTCCCAAACCTGCCCACAACCCCTTGATCGGGCGCCTCCAGATCAGGTGCTTACGACTTGTTGAAGGCAAAAAGGGGGACACTGTTAGACAGCACCCGCTTTTGTTTAGTTTTTGTGAATTTTGACGCCAGCCTGAATTTTCCTCCTGGCGAATGGGGAATCAGGTTTCATGTTGACTGTGGGGGGCATAGATATACTAATATATTTTATATGTATATATATATATATATATACATACATATATATATATATATGTGTTATATATATATATATATATCATATGATATATATATATATATTATATTATATATACATATGTATATGTGTATATATGTATATTATATGTGTGTGTGCGTGTATGTATATAAATATGTATACATTCATTTTTTATTTGCTTAAAACCATGTTTGAACCTCTGGATGGTGTTGGCAGGTGGTGGCCACGGACATCCGGGACCACGAGCGCCTCCTGGCGCTGGCCACATCTTTGGCCGGGGGCCCATGCCTCGGCCTTGAGAGAACCACCGGGGGACCTCCCCCAAAACGGTGGTTCGTGGTTCGAGGTTCAAATACAACCCGGCGCCCGGAAAAAAAAAAAAAAGCGGGGGCGGAAATTTCTGAGACTCGAAGCTCAATAATTGTGAGGGCGTTCTGGTTTTCCCAGTTGATTTGGGGGAGTATATTTTAGGGTACCTCCCAATCCACATGGATTTTTTGGCAGGTGGTCCACCCAGAAATGGGTATGTGCCTGGAATGGGGAGCCGGAACCCACACGTTGATGGACTCTATACTTTAACTGGGAGGCACCCAAGTTTTATAGACATACGTTTTGAGAGGGACATGCCTGCGTTTGTTTTCTTGTTGCTGGTCGCACTGCCTGAGTTTATGGGCTTGGTACTTGCAGGGAATGCAATTTTCGTGTTAAACAAAGTGCTTAGGCTTTGTTTGGCCAATTCACCCCGTCATATGCTTAGGTTTATGTTTGACATGGGTTGCACATGAATTCACAGACGTATATGTACATACATTGCTACATGTGTACAAGTAGCATGTGGGTCATTTCCCTGATCAATTTGCTGCTGGCAGCATGATCAACCCTTCCCCATATATATATATATATATATGGTACCCCCCCCCCCCCCCCATTGACTCTGATTTTTTTGGCTGCATGACTTTGAAAGCAATCTTGGAAGCAATCTTGGGTTGTCAGCCCAGGGGGGAATAAGGGAAATAAGGATCCTTATTCCCCTTATTCCCCTCAAACCCAAGAACCCAAGAACCCAAGATGCACAGAGGACTTTTGGAAGCAATCTTGGGTTGTCAGCCCAGGGGTGGAATAAGGGGAATAAGGATCCTTATTCCCCTTATTCCCCTCAAACCCAAGAACCCAAGAACCCAAGATGCACAGAGGACTTTTGGGAGCAATCTTGGGTTGGCAGCCCAAGAAAAAAGGAAGGGACATGAGGATGCTTATTCCCGTTCTTACCTTGAAACCCAAGATTGCTTCCAAAAGTCCTCTGTGCATCTTGGGTTCTTGGGTTCTTGGGTTTGAGAGGAATAAGGGGAATAAGGATCCTTATTCCACTTATTCCCGTTTCTACCTTTAAACCCAAGATTGCTCCCAAAAGTCCTCTGTGCATCTTGGGTTCTTGGGTTCTTGGGTTTGAGGGGAATAAGGGAATAAGGATCCTTATTCCCCTTATTCCCTTCCTCCGCTCAGACTTGGCCTTTGCATCTTGCCAAGAGAGTCGAAATTATGCTATATTCAGCTCTCAGGCAGCTCAAGTCCTTATTGTTTGTCTCCTCCTTCTTTCTGCCATGGCTTCCTTTGACGTGGTTGGCAAGGTCAGGTTCTCCAATGGCGCAGCCGAGCTGCGAATCCAACCAGCGTCTAGCCCTGCTTCATCCCAAGCTTACAAAGTCGACAAGGAGAAGCCTCGGGTCACTCTAGATGAAGTTCTTGAACAACACGAACGCGGAGCAATCAAAATTCATGACAGCCGGCTTCCATTGGATCAACGCGCCTTGCGTTCCATGATGTACAACACACAGAAAACTCTGAACATCGAGCCCTTGGGCCACATGGGCAGGTGGACAGAGGAGTGTCACGAGAAGCTTCTACGTGACCTGCAAGCACCTAAGGGCCATGTTCGGGGACGCAAGCGTCGTGACCGGCTGGCCATCCTGGACGCAAACACCCAGGACCCGCTGCCAATCCAAGACGCCCCAGTCCAGCAAGAGCAGCAGTTGGCCGAGGACCACCAGGGGACCTCCGAAAAGGATGAGGGCATGTCCGAGGACCACCATGGGATCTCCGAAAAGGATGAGGGTGTGTTTGAGGACCAGCAGGGTGTCTCCAAAAAGGATGAGGGTGTTTCCGAGGACAACCATGGGATCTCCGAAAAGTATGAGGACGTGTCTGAGGACCAGCAGGGTGTTTCCAAAAAGGATGAGGGTGTTTCCGAGGACCACCATGGGATCTCCGAAAAGGATGAGGACGTGTCTGAGGACCAGCAGGTGATCTCCGAAAAGGATGCGGGCCTCTCCAGTCAAGAGCCACCCCACCAAGACCAAGACATGCCTGAGAATAATCAAGGTCACTCTGAGGACTCAGGCGACGACTCCTCCTCTTCAAGCTCGTCGTCTTCAGATTCATCTACGCCCACACGAGCTCACAATGAGAGTGTCTCCGCGCAACTCGAGCTCAAGGAGCTTGAGTTGCAAGAGGCTCACGCTCGCATTGAGATCTTGGAGGGTGACATTCAACAATATGAGTGCGAACTTGAAGAGCTTAGGGCACATTTGGCTGAGGAGCGTGCCTCAAAGAGGGCCAGGAAGTAGAAGCCTGTATAGCTGTCAAGCTGTATTCAGAATCTTCTGTAAGTAACATAGCCATCATTGGCAGACGGTACTATACATGTGCACATACTCTTGTCCGGATCTGCTCCTGTGAGAGGTGACAAAAAAGATGTCTGCTTTTGGTTGCCTTTTGATGTGGTAGCTTGCAGCAGGACATCATGGCTTGCACGAATGCATGACATTCCTGAGTTTGATATGTGAACCTGTTGCTTTCCAGCTTAGAGTTCCCAAGTAGTTGCCCCTAAGGCACACCATCTTCTTATTCCATGTCCAGCATGTTAGACGATGCCATGGCCCTACACTCCGGCAAAGAGTGGGTGTATGAGACCCACACCACCCCCAAAATGGCTTGGCACTCTCGTGGGGAAATTTCAGAACCCATCCTCTTGTCAGACTTCTTGGACAACTCATGTCGCAACTTGAACGAAGCGAAAGTGACCTCCATAGCCTTCGATGTCCACAAGAATGTGCCAGAATTTAGCGGTCTTGCTCAGATTGGGGAGCTTCTGTCACAAGGCAACATCGCAGATGTACCCTTTCCACTACGTCTTCAAGGGCCTCTTCCTCCCAAGGCAAGCATGGGCGTCATCATCGAAAACCACCATGATGGAACAATGTCTCTGATCAAAATTCTGCACTTCGCCAACAAGATCACTGCTGCTGCCGCCCAGCGCCTGATCACAGGAGAGGGCTTCGTGCCTGTGTCACGCCCTGGGCCATGGGCGCATCGCAAAGCTGTCCAGTCCTTACCGGCTTTCGCGTGATGTGGGCGAGCCTGACAAAAAAGGCTCCTCTCCAAAGGGCTCAGTCTTCTCAGTGGGCACCTGATGACGAGGCGCTTAAGGAGGGCATCTTGTTCATCAATGCCAATGCACCAGAATGTGACTCGCAGAATGAACAGACCTATTGGATCCTATGTTCCATCAAGGAGGGCTCTGGCACACCAGTTTCTGGGTGGCCAGAAGCAAAGGTCAGATTCATGGCTCAAAACAAAAGCCGTGGCCTGGCCGGAGCGCAGCCTGAGACTGACTTCCCCCTCACCATGTTCAGCTTGAAGCCCTTCATGTCTGATGTTCTTTTGCCAATGGTTATGCCGATGTTGCTGACTTATGGCATCATGATGGTGGGCTTACCAGGCGTCGGCAAGACACCCTGTTTGATCACCCTTGCCATGGCAGTTGGACGTTACCACGTCCGGCGTCTCTCTTTGACAGCCTCGCCGGGCTGGCGTCGAGCCAAATCTCTCGACAACTTCAGGCATCGAGTCCCCCAGGTACAAGAGGCCGTCTTTCTCGATGATCCTTCCAGGGACAAGCTCGATCTAGCCGACATGAAATCGTTCCTTACTGCGGATGAAGACCAGACTTGCTCAGGCAGGTACAATGATGTCAGGCTGGTCAGAAATGGCATGAGGGCATATGCTTCCAACGACATCGGTGAGGGGGATGAGCCTGAGGACACCTACCGCAGTGACATCGAGCCCGACGAGTTCTTCAAGTTGCTCCGCAAAACATTTCCAGAGTCCAAGCAAGCAGACGTGCTGGCAGTGCTTAAGCGGACAATTGTCATGGTCTTCGGGCAGAATGGTCTCTACTTGCGCTTCCCGTCCCCCAACTATGGTGCCCTTGTCCATCGCATTGTGGCAGACGATGTTCACAAAGATCTCCTTGCCACCAAGGACAAGCCTGTGTATGCTGCGTACAAGCTGGGTGATATGGTGAAGGGAAGCTACTATGAGAGCGAGGTGGAGAAGGAGCAGAAGATCATCGATGAAGGCATGATGAAGCTACAGCAGGCAGGCCGAGCACAAGACTATGTGGAGAGATGCAACAAAGATCTCAAAGAAGCTCTCAAGCAGGTGGCACGCATCCCAGAGAGCTCCTTTGTGCCAACTTCTCAGTCTTCAGAGGACCCGCCTCTCCTGCCGCCGGTGCCTCTCAACATCGGCTGCAACGCGCCAAAGCGCTTGCGAGAGGGCGACTTCATCTACCCAGACTCCAAGCCGGACAAGCGCCTCCGGCACAAAACGAGCTTGCTCATCTCTTGCGGGGGAGGAGCAGCCTCATCTGTTGCCTCTGGTGATCCACAACCGCAAAATGCCGACCAATGTGCAGAGCCTGAAGAGCTTCTGGCTGCAGCAGAAACAGCCGACATGGAGGACACTGCTGCAGACGAGGATGCAAGCCACTTTCTCCACGACTAGAGCGTGAACCTGCTTGAGTTCTGAGTGTTGGGCTATGCTGCGAGAATCTATACTCTTGCTTGGTGAGTAGTGGTTACTACTGCCATAAAATTCAAATTCAAAGATGAAAGCTGTGTGCCCGCGGAAAAAAATAAGCTCGCTGCAAGACTGCAATTGCAAGTGCAACCTTGATTGATTTCCGACTTGCCTTGCACTGTGTTGCCATTGAATCACCTAGGGCTCGTAGTTACTGCGATTGTGACATGGCAGCTCGACTCAACCCCGGGGTTGTGAGCAAGCGGGGGAAGCTCCGTCGTGTCCACAAGAGGCCAGCCACGAAGAAGAGCAAGGAGTATAACAAAGTGAAGTACGTGCGAGGTCACCGAGATGTACCAGCAGCTGGTGTTCGCATGGATCGAGCTAAGTGGAAGCGCAACCTCGCTGAGATCCTGGGTGCTAGCAACAGTGGGATTACCAAGATTTTGGAAAAGGACGGCATCCTTCCAAAATGGCACGGTAAGCGTTGCCCCCAATGCTGGAAAGGCACTCTTGCATCCAAGATGCATTGCGGCAGTGCAAAGTACCAATGCAACAACTATCATTGCAAACGTATTGTCAGCCCGCTGCACTTGCATCCCTTCTTCACTACTGGCCGTGGCCCTGGCTCTACTCCTTTGCAGATGCAGGCGGCAGTTCTCTTCATGATCCTCATTGGTGCTTCCCACACCCAGATCAGGTTGGCCTTGGGTGTGAATCACAAGCTCATTGAAAAAATGAGATCCAGCCTAGCGCATACCAGGCAGCTCTTTGTCGAGCAGGAGGAGAAGAAGATCTCCTTTGGTGGCAAGAAGCAGTGGCAGGATGTGGAAGCTGATGAGTGCGCCTTTGACAAAGCAGATATGACCAAGGACGTCGCGTACAAGGAGGCGGTCAAGGCAGGCAAGCCCATCCTGTGGGAGCAATGGAGTGGCATGATGGCCCGCGGCAAGCCATCTACACTCATCATGTCACGCCTTAGCCCAGCCTTGACGGTGCGGAGAGCTCCGGGGCCGGGGGCAATCCGCAAAATTGACTGGGCCCCGTTAGCCAAGAAGCACTTGCAGGGCCGCCATGTCATCCTGCATACGGACTTGGCAAAGTCCTACAAGGCCAAGGTGGATGGCGTGCACCATGACTCAGTTGTCCACTGCAAGAAGCTGATCACACTCAAGAATGGGAAAAAGAAACGGAGCTCCCCGCAATACGTGCGAGTGGTGACTCACAGGCTCCGGGATGGAACCCAGCTGAAGGTAAAAGCAGGCACCCAACACGTGGACAGGGCTTGGCGGTTTATTAAGGACCGGTTAAAATTGAACCAAAGGGTTCGAGCTGGGTCCAAAGCAATCAGGAGCCGCATTCGTTCAGCCCAGTATGAGTACTGGATGCGGGGCCAAGATCTCTGGATCAAAACTGGAGATCTGGTGAAGGATGCAATGGCTCCTTTTGTACAGAAATAGGGAGAGTTTTCTGCAGCAGAAAACAAAAAAGCGCGAAGTGCGTCTCACTGCCTGCTTTCCAAGTAAAGTTCCACTGAATGAAGCTCTCACTGCACCAAAAAAAACACACATAAATCTTCTGCTGTCACCTGTCAATCAAACACAAGCAAATCATCTGCTACCATCTGTCAGTCAAGCACCCACTGCACCAAAAAAACAGAGTCGTTGAGGGGGGGGTAGCATATATATATATATATATATATAGGCGTGTGGTGTGTGTATACATGTATACATAGATATATACATCTATAGACATTTGTGCATATATATATATATCTATAAATCTGCGCTTGTGTGTATATGATTAAACCCCCCGCACCATGAATGCATTCGCCTTTTGAGAAGCACGTTCTCATGCCCAGGAGCTGAACCTGCGCCTGGCGCCAGAAAGCGCGCGGGCCCGCTGGGGCCCAAGGCTGGTTTTGGGCCCGAGCGCATGGCAAATGTTGGGAGTTGGCTTTAAGAGCGTGTGTCTTGAAATCTTAACGTAGGCATTGGCTCCCCCCTTTGTGGCTTTCTGTTTTGACATTTTGAACCACCCCTAAAAGGGGCATCCTGAAACAACAAACTCACCACCCTCACAAATACTCTTTTCGCAACAATCATCATGGAAGTGGACAACTAGCAGCCGTTTCAAGAGGACAGTCTTCAACTGTCCGGTTGTCCGAGTCCATAATTGCCGAAACGAGAGTACTGCCCTGATTGCAAGCTCACGTTGCGGGAGCTCGCCATTAGGAGAGGGGCAGAACTCGTGCTGCAACAGTTGCGAGGGGAAATCTACTTGAACCCATGGTTTTCAACAGGTGGTGATTGAAACCATCCTTCAAGGGTATTGCAGGGTACGACCCTGAATTTCGTGATGGGGTGATACAAGTGCCTAAGTAACTAGAGAGGGGGCTGCAGGGGAGGATATCAAAAACAGGCAGTTTCTTCCATAATTTTGGAAAGAGGGTAGAACGACAGAAAGCGACCTTAGGTCAATAGAGGTTGGGGTTGAAATATGAGGGGGGGAGGCCGGAGTAAAACTTACAGATCGCTTGACTGAACCCACTTTCGTGCTTCTCGTGTTTTTTGAGGCCTGATTAGAAACGGCTAGAATGAGTTTTGTAGTCGCGAGCCCCTGTTGCCGACAGTGCAGGGGATGCAGGGGATGCAGGGCCGAGCATTTTACGGTTGCTGGAGATGCTGGTAGGTGATGCATGCTGGCTGGTGATGCTGGTGTTGCTTAGTTTTTGAGGACTGGGGACTGTGCGAGTGCACTTGCTGCTATATGTTGATTTGCTTGTGCATGCAAGTCTGTATCTGTTGTTTGCACTTGCTTTGCTTATGCTGACACTGGATTGTTCTTTGCAATTCAGTTTGCATATAAACCCAGTTATGGAAAGAAGAGCTCAACTCGAACTTCCATGTCAAGCTTGAGTTTTAGTTAGGATTTCCTTTCAATAAAAATCACATGCACTGGATCAGCTCTGTCCAAAGCCACAAAACAACAGCTGAATTTAAACACAAATAATCAAAATATGACATTCTCCTGGAACTCTCGGCACTCTGAGTGGCTTCCTCTTGTACAAGTGTCTGAGGAATGTGCGCGTGCGCGCGTGTGCGCGCGTGTGTGTGTGTGTGTGTGTGTGTGTGTTGGGTGTGTGTGTGTGTGTGCGTGCGTGCGTGCGTGCTTGTGTTTGTGTTTGTGTTTGTGTTTGTGTCTGTGTCTGTGTCTGTGTCTGTGTTTGTGTTTGTGTTTGTGTTTGTGTTTGTGTGTGTGTTTGTTTGTGTGTTTGTGTCTGTGTCTGTGTCTGTGTTTGTGTTTGTGTTTGTGTTTGTGTTTGTGTGTGTGTTTGTTTGTGTGTTTGTTCGTGTGTTTTGTTTGTGGCTGTGTCTGTGCTTTTTGTTGATTATTTTTTGGTGATTAGATAGTTTCTTTTTATGGAGCTCTATTTAGATTCGGGTACAGTTTGTCACAGTAGAAGTTGATAGATATATCAAGTGGTGTTCCACCAGGACATATTTCAGAGGTGCACCCATGCTTGCACTCAGGGCAGTCGCTTTCGGTTGCCTTTGTTGCAGATACCTGGGGTATCTTCCGAAACGATTTCATATTTCAGGGTAGGTTACTCAATTTCCACCGATGAACATGGGGCCTGACATTCGGGGGGTCCTGGAAGACCATTTTCCTTTTGAAGTGACCCCCTTGAAATTTGATTGGTTGCCCCAGTTACGCGGAACCCATGGATTTGTCCAAGAGGTCACCATTGCTTTTGAGATGATTCTTTTGTTTTGACTATGACTCAAGTCCTGGTTTGCCCGAGGTGTTTTGCCCCACCGCTGGGGCAGCGGCTGTCCGGAGCCGAGGCTAGAGTTTCGTGAGCGG